CACTCACACACACCAACACACACACACACGCACACACGCACGCTCACACACACCATCACACACATGGACAGACACACACACACACACATTTCCGCAGTCCTCATTCGTGTCCCCCTTCTCCTTTCCGTTTTGTTACCTTGTAGCCATTGCAGACCAGGAGGGCACCCTCGCTCTCTCTGAGCATTGTAATAGCAATAAGCACCTCCGGCTTAGACCCTGCTTCCAGACCGAATCTATATGGACGACCAAAGCGCACAATATCTTCAACCAGATATCGTTCATGATTGCACTTCACGGGAAACACTCCTTGAAAGTGTCCCTGCAGCCATCCATCCACAACCAGAACATCATATAATTATTCACCCTTGGCAGCAGTGCAAGGGCAAGAGACTGGCTACAATTTCTCTCACCAAACCTCAAACACTGAAAAAAAGACCTTATCATCAGTCAGTTCACGTAATAATCACACATCTAAGGCCCCCAATCTCATGAGGGCAACCTTATCTTAATTCCCTAATAACTGAAAAAGCTCCCACAGAACAACAGCCACCATTCCCCCTCAAACGGAAATCAAGCAGTAGCTACTCCCTCTACCCCTTGCTCTTTAACCTCTTGGCCCGGGTAAACCCCATCCCTCTCCCAGCTCCCAGCTCCCCACACTACAACCACCATTCCCTCTCTGACTGGGCATCAAGCAGACAGACGTTCTATCGATGGCATTTCAGTCTGCAACACTGTTAACCCCATTCTGCAACTTCAAAGTGCTGTTAAGGCAGAGGGTGCACATGGCTGTTCGGCTAAGATCTACGTAAATCATAGGAAGAGGTACCAGAGAGTATCATACATGGTGTACTAAGATCTACGTAAATCGTCGGAGGAGGATATGCATGGCCTGCTCAATTGATTGCCTACGGTACCAAAGACTATCATACATGGTGTAGGACTTACATGCACAGAAAACGAATCTCCATATCCTGTAGGACAAATGCTCAGAAAACAAAACCGTTTACCAAAAAGCATTTCAAAAGGATGCTGAATTCGCTGGCTTGAGGCAGACGAGTGAGGAGAGTTTAGCTCAGAGCATACTCGACCTACAATTTTATTTTCTCTCCTCCGTTTTTTTGGATCATTTTTTCCTCTACATTTCAAAAGGATGATGAATTCGCTGGCTTGAGGCAGACGAGCGAGGGGACGTTAGCTCAGGGCATATTCGACTTAGGATTTCCTTTCCTCTTCTCCCTTTTTTTGGTTCATTTTTTCCTCTGCATTTCAAAAGAATGCTGAATTCGCTGGCTCGAGGCAGACGAGCGACGCAGTTTAGCTCAGAGCATACTCGACCTATTATTTTATTTTCTCTGTTCTCCCTTTTTTTTTTGGTTCATTTTTTCCTCTTCCCCCTCTTTTCCTTCTTTCCTTTGTTTCTCCCCTTTGTTTCTTTTCATTTTTTAAAAAGGGTTACAGCCATGAGATATCATCGTGGAACTGGCTGGCCCCAGGTACTTCAGGAATTTTGTTCATCTGATTCCATCTGGATTCGAACGCATGTCTACATTTCAACAGTTTATGGGTGTACCACCTGAGCTACGCCCGTTCGTGGACCTTAGGATTTTCGTATCTGAATCTGGGCGTGATTACAGTCACGATCAATTCGGGAGAGTATCTGAGAGGAAAGAGAGGGACATGGCAAGCTGACAGTCAATCCTCCACCAAGGCGGAGCAATCAATGCTGTTCAGGGGTCCTTCGGCCAAACGGAAGGAAGCGTATGTGAGTTTCAATGTAATGTATTTTCTGACTTGCCAGTGGAATAGGAACCGGACTGACGCTCCCCAGAAAAAAAAAAAAAAGCAAAAAACAAAAAAAAAAAAAGCACCGGAAACCTGTGCTGACCTGGCAATTCAAGACGGGATCGGTTAATTTGCTGGATGAGCTCATTCCATCCACTGTAACCCTTGCACCCTTCAAGAATGCTTACACCAAGATAGCGAGTGCCCTGGAAATATCGTTTCCGGAACCCTTCGGCCATTATACCCTTTCCTTTGGATTCCTCTCCGCCCTTAACTTCCTGCCATTCTCCTCAAAACCCTACCCCTCTCCTCTTCCTGTTCTCCTCGTCCGTTCCTTCTGCCCGCGGCTGTTATAACCCCCCTTCCTTTGGTCTCGTCTCTTTTGCTCAATCTCCTCAAACCTCCACCATCCTTCTCCTCCTACGCTTCTCCTCCACCTCAACCTTCTACCCTCCTCCTCCCTTCCTCCTCGATCCTTTTCCCATCCATCCTCCACACTCAACCATTTTTCCCTCTTTTAATACGGGCGATGGGGCCTTGAGATGTCACCTTTGAAGTGACCAGCCCCCCACTTATCAGAATCCATTGGGATTCGAACTCGGGTCTGCATTTCAACACTTCGTAGGTGTACCAACTGAGCTACCGTCTTCACCCGAATACGCCCGGTCATTATCGCCGCATGTAGACTGAAAATTGCACCAAATACGGCTATAATGACCGGGCGTTCTATTCGGGTGAAGACGGTAGGCATTATTATCATCGCATTTTCATCTGCTGCTCAACGCTGTGCTCTCCTCCTCCTCCTACTCCTCGCCCTCCGCCTCTTCCTCTGCCCCAAGCCTTCAATCCTTAACCTTGTACCCGTCGCTCCCCGTTCCTTTACCCTCACCGTTCTTCCTCGTCGACCCTCGTCCTTCTCCTCCATTCTTTCCTTGGCCATTTTCTTCTCCCCTGATCTGTGTTCCCCTCCACCTCCCTTTCCCCTATCAATACCACATTGGAGCTCTTGCACCCAATTTCTCCATGCACTTCCTAGACTTTCCCTGCTAATACAATACACTGGAAGTCAAGAGGTGAGTGCAAGGACTCGATCCCTAGACTTTACCAGCTAGTACAACTACACTGTAAGTCGGAGAAGTGCGGTTGTAAGTGAGCGAAGCGTGGTGCAAGGACTGTTGTCTTACCTGATATCCAAATCCTGCAATTGCGCTATTGAAGCATTCTTGCAGTTGCTTCATCCTGTGTCGAACAATATCCGGAAATCGAATGATCATCGGCAATGCCACATTCCTCTTGCCTAGAGCCTCCAGTAACTCGTATAAATCAAGTTCGTCGGAACCTGAAACGCCAGAGAACCGTAGTGCATGTCAAGTTCAATCCTGTTCGTTTTTCTGCTGAACATATATATCGTCACAAACAGACTCTCGCTCACAATAAACCACAAGGAAGCCAATCATGCGTGCGTGTCCAATCCAGTCATTATATCTAAATAAGCCTCACCCACTCACATAGACAATCATCCAACAATAAAAATAAAAATAAAAAAAAAACATCCAACCGTCCATCTCACCGTGGAAACCTGAACACGCCAAGACAACCCCTGGTGTATGTAAAGCACAGTCTTGTCTCTCGTACACACTCTCGCTGTCAATGACGACGATACAAGGACACAATCATGCGTGCGTCGTGTCCAATCGAGTCATACTTATTAAGCCACCAGTTCACGAGCCTAAGGTGACAAGGAAGCTACCCCCTTCCAAGGCTCGCGAGCCTGCAACTGCGCCTTTTCACGCTGGCCTGCCTCTTTATACATACCGGCCCAGGCCCGAATTGAGAAACTATACGCGCTAGAAATGCTAGCGGAAATTAAAAAACATCGCTTGTGGCTAATTTTTCGATGACTGATCATTACTCCCAAAAAATCACGAGGTGCTGGAGAGCAGCTTACTTGGTGACTGCTCTGCTCGTCGTCAATTTCCTTTTCAGAAAGGAAAAAAGGAAAATCACGATCATTTCATCGCCTGGCACTCTGTGGGCATACTGACACAAGGCCCTCAAAATCACAGAATCACAAAATCAGCGGCCAGATTGAGTCCCTGTGAATGGAGGACTCGATCTGGCCGCTCACTCTTTCGATTCTGCCATTTTGAGTGTCGACTGAGTATACTCTCATTCTGAATCAGCCTACTACCTCCGCTCCCAATTTTTGACTCTCATTTCTTCACTTCCATTATTATGCCAGATTTTTTGTTTCCTTGTGAGAAAGTCGATGCACTCCGCTGTATCTTCCATTCTCAATTTCTCGTTTCATTTTATTTACTCTCATTATCCCAGAAAATAAATTGTGCGTGTCCATATTTTATTCGTCAGTCTTCCAGTTTCTGTTCTGAATACCTTTCTCCCGGAAAAAGGCGCCCCAACCGACCAGCAGGCGGCTAAGCTTACCCGCCTTCCCCCGAACACAACACACCCTGATTATGAACGTATACAGCTATCTTTCCGGTCCGGTGCAGTCACGATCAGTGTATCATACTCGTAGGAAGATAACAAACCTCTGCAAGTACGCCACCGTCCTCCAGCGAATAGGGAAAGTTCATTTTACTTACACAACTGCCCTTTAAGTTCATTTTACTTACACAACTGCCCTTTAAGTTCATTTTACTTACACAACTGCCCTTTATACAGGGGTGAGAATGGGACAGCTGAAAAAGGGCGATACCTGCTTTCCCGAAATAAAAAACGCACGGTCATTACAGCCGTAATTTTTTCGGTGTAACTTTCAGTCTCGATGTGACCGTACGTTCTATTCGGGGGAAGTCGGTAGTACACGGGCAGCTCAGTGGGGACCCGTTTCGCATGCAGGCAGGCCAGCCATCCTACCGTCTTCACCCCGACAAAACGCATGGTAAGCATCCCTATATCTGGTCTAAAAAGCCCCCAAATACAGCCATAGTGACCACGTGTTCGATTCGGGTGACGACCGTGTTTACCAGCATGCCTTACATGTATGCGGACTACAGTTGTCCCAAATACAGCCATAATGACCGACCGGGCTTTCTATTCGTGTGAAGACGGCAGTTAAAAGGAGGCCTCATCGCTGTTACTGGACTAAGTACCGCCATAATACCCCAGCATTCTACTACAGTCTTCCCCCGAATACAACGTACGGTCATTATAGCTGAATTTAGACTGAAAGATGCCCCAAATTCAGCTATAATGAACGTACGTTGTATTCGGGGGAAGACTGCAGGGTAAAGACGGTAGTTACCACAGGCCTGTCCTTTCGCGATTGGTTCATCCATTCATCATTGGATTGACGGAGACAATTCCGACAATTT